ATGCAATCTGATAAGTCATCTAACTTATCAGATTCTTTTTTTATTCTGTAGCCTGCTTTTTAAAAGGCAGTCATTATGAACAGTTAAGAAAGTTATATCTTTATTTAAAGATGCATAGAGCGATATTAAATCTTCACCCATATTTAAAGCCCCTATTTAAGTTTAGAGTAATGAATAATTGTGGAATTTATCTTTACTAAGTATTTCTGAGTAATATTAAATACAATAGAATTTTATCTTCCTGTGTATTTCTAATCTGTATGGTAGAAGAGTTTCCTTCCGCCCCTTCCTTCCTTTCTATTTTAGTGATGGGTACTATATAGATACATTTAGAAAAAAATTTAGACACAATGCCTATAGTCATATGGCTTACATGATCTGAATGAATATGTTTAAGTTGAAATGAATGTGTTAAATGAGTGTGTTTAACTTGAATACAAGACTAACTTGTTAAAGGCTAATTAAGTCATATTCATAATAAAAAGATTGAAATCCTTATCTTTCTGTTATTAGAATCCATTGAGAAGAAGTAAAATATACTCAGATCCAATATATGTGATCTGTCTGGTAGTGATACCTAAATAAGGTAATTATATTAATATATTGTCATTTCCCTTAATATTATTATTACTTGAACAATTAAATAGCTTTGACTTTGCACTGTAGTTAGGAATGGCTGCATAAAAATTTTAGATGGAGTTATTTATTTTTACTCATATTAATTTAAACATAATTTTCTAGGTAATTAATGATCCTATCCATGGCCACATTGAGCTCCACCCTCTTCTCATCCGGATCATCGATACGCCTCAATTTCAGCGGCTTCGATACATTAAACAGTTGGGAGGTGGTTACTATGTTTTCCCAGGAGCTTCACACAATCGATTTGAACATAGTCTAGGGTAAGAAGGGCTGGGGTGGGGAACTTGCAGTTATTAAGTATCTCTTCTGTCTCATGAAATAGTTTTCCTGTCTTAATCTTTTAGGGAATAAATAGTTTTACACAATGATGGTAATATCCTTATTTTATTGAGGAGAAAATTTAGACTTTTGATTTATCTTGCTGTATATTATTTATTTTATATATACTTACAAGCCACTTCAGCTCATTCCTGGAAAGATAAGGTGTCTGCTGACAGGTCAGTTGGATAAAATATTTGTCTTTAAATATTATGTAAAAGCTATTAGGGTTGGTTACTGATATAACTAACTGTAAATTCGATCATTTAATTTTTTTATAATCTCTATTTAGTCTTTCAAAGAATTGTTCTTTGAAACCAGATGATTTTCTTATCTATCATGAAATGTGTAAGTCAGGAAAGCATTCATAATCTTAGAGACAGTGATGCCTCTGTTAGCATAAAACTAAGCTGAGACTTCGGTCTGCTTTTCCATTATAAAATGTAGAGCTAAGAGTACATGGACAGGGAAGAACTAGACAGTTTTCCAGATTTTCATGTAGTCATAGTGTATTACTTTGGTTTTTTTGTTTGCTTTAAAGCATTTTTAATTAGCCAAACACATAGATCTATCCTCAAATGTTCATTCATTCATCAACAAATATTTATTAAACACCATACCAAACTGTGAACAAGATGACAATCGTCTGTACCTTCATGGAGCTTAGAGTTCAGGGGAAAAGAAAGGTGATGTATTCATTTAGGAATGACTCTCAGAGGGAAGTGCTGAAAGTGCATTTAACATTTGTTGCACACTTTATCTTCAGTGTCGTAAACATTAGAAAACCAGAGATTCTTGGTTGTTTTTTTTTTTTAAATTGCGGTAAAATACACAGAACGTAATATTTACCATCTTAATTGTTTTTAAGTGTACAGTTCAGTAGTGTTAAATACGTTCACATTGTTGTGCCACCAACAGCCAGACTCTTTTCATCTTGCAAAACTGAAGCTATATATACCTATTAAGCAATAACTCTCTGTTTCCCCCTTCCCCGGTCCTTGGGAACTACACAATTCCACTTTCTGTTTCTATGAATTTAACTACTCTAGGTACCTCATCTTAGGGAAATCATACAGTATTTGCCTTTTTGTTACTAGCTTATTTCACTTAGCATAATGTCCCCAAGGTTCTTAAAGGTCATAACATGTGTCAGAATGTCTCTCCTTTTTAAAGCTGTATAATATCTCATTGTATATATGTACCACATTTTATTTATTCGTTTGTTGATGGACACTTGGGTTGCTTTCATCTCTTGGCTGTTGTGAATAGCACTGCTATGAACATAAATGTGCAAATATCTCTTTAGGATCCTACTTTCAGTTCTTTTGGATATATACCCAGAAGTGGAATTGCTGGATCATTATGATACTACTATTTTTAATTTTTTGTGGAACCATCATACTGTTTTCCATAGCAGGTGCACCATTATACATTCCCACTAGCACTGCACAAGGATTCCAGTTTCTCTGCATCCTGGCTAATGCTTGTTATTTTCTGGGGGTTTTTTTGATAGTAACCATGCTAGTGGGTGTGAAATGCTATTGCATTGTGCTTTTGATTTGCATTTCCCTAATGATTGGTGACATTGACCCAGAGGTCCTGCTTTTGGGTTTCTGTTTGTGTGTGTTTCTGTCTAGTTCTGAAATAGACTATTCGGTAAAATTGTCCTAGAAATAGTAGAATGTTTGAGAAAACATATCAAATTTCTTAAGGATCAGAAGTATCACTTATCTTTCAAACAAAAGAGTGACTTTTTGTGTTTTTGCTCTGCAGGGTAGGGTATCTTGCAGGATGTCTAGTTCGTGCACTGTGTGAAAAACAACCAGAGCTGCAGATAAGTGAACGAGATATGCTCTGTGTTCAGATTGCTGGGCTTTGTCATGATCTCGGTAAGCTGCACAAAGAGCCAGGGTTGCTATGTAAAATCATAACATGTTATTTGTCTCTGAAATTTAAAAATCAGGCTGGGGCAGTGTCTCACACTTGTAATCTCAGCACTTTGGGAAGCTAAGGTGGGAGGATTGCTTTAACCCAGGAGTTGGAGACCAGCCTGGGCAACATAGTGAGACCTTGTCTCTACAAAAAATAAAAAATATTAGTGAGGTGTGGTGATGTGTGCCTGTATTCCCAGCTACGTGGGAGGCTGAGGCAGGAAGATCAGTTGACCCCAGCAGTTCAAGGCTACAGTGAGCTATGATCACACCACTGCACTCCAGCTGGGGCAGCAGAACAGACTCTGTCTCTTAAAAACAAACAAAAAAACAGACCTACCAAGAGAAATATGGAAATTGTGTTTTAATTCTTCAGTTAACATTAATAAAAATGTGTTGTTGCTTCTTCTTAAAGTGATTCATAAGTATAAAACCATTGCTATTTTATTTTCTTGTAGTCTTTCAGTGAATTTCCCATGGTAAACATCTTTGCTACGAGTTATATGAAAAGGCTTTTTTTTTTTTTTTTTT